CCTCTTGGATCTGGTAGGGACAGCAATAATTGCCCTAAAACAATTACCCGCCTTATAACATTACGAAGAAGTCTATTCTGTTCTGAGAGGCATAACAGGGATTCTGGGAAGTTGACTGAGTCAGGCAAAGTTTCTTCTTAGAAATGGTATTTAATCAGAGACTGAAGGGTGATATGCTATTAAATAAACATTAATCAGCTATTACAGCTCAACTGCTAGGAACACACTATAAATGATCATCTTTTCCCCTCAGATTGCTCATAGGTGAGTCGTGGAGACAAATGAACGATGACTACAGAATGAAAAAGGGTAAGTAGTATTTTGGCATAATGGAAACACAGAGAATTGGCCTGGGGAATCTGGGGTAGTTTCAGTACAGGAACAGTGGTCCTGGCTGGTCCAGAAGGAGTTGGAGGAGTTTGCCAGGTGAACGATGGGGACTCCATAAAAGTATGTTTCATTCGGAATCTGCAATGCATTATTGGGAGTCTACGAGTCCGCAATGAGAATTTTAAGTCTGAATTTTACTTTCAGGATAATCTTTTTAAAGTTATTTTTAAGCTTATCCATTCACCTTATCACTGGACACTGCTGTATGATTTCAGGGTCCACATTTTCAAATGCGTTTATTATCACAGGATACCAGGAAACACTTCAACTGTCTTTTGCCACGCAGGAATTCAGGCCCAGAGTGTGGAGAGAGATTCTAATTTCTCGATTGTAATACAAAATGGAAATTCAGCTTTTTGTGTGAAATGTTCCAGTAAATGTTGGCAACTAATGTTTTTTCAACATTGTCCATGGTAACGAGACAAAACACAGGTCACGTGTTTGCAGCTCCTGCTCTTTGGATTTCAGGGTCATTAACAAGGTGTTGTTTTCCAGCCAGTGGCCGTGTAGTTTTACTGCAGGTTGAAGGGCCTGAAGGAAATTTGCTTTGTGTAGTGCTGACCTTGAAACCCCCAACATATAAAGCTCACTGAAAAGGACAAGGACCTAATAAGGAATTCAGCAGGAGAGAAGAGGTGGTCTGGTCCCTGGGTTGAGCTTGCACCACTGGGAAGCCGGTTCTGGAGCGGCACGGGAATGAGGGGTAAAGCCCTTGAGAAGCCAGGCATGGTGCTCTGCTTTGGGATATGTGGCTGACCTTGTGGAAGGGGAACCATCCATAGCTCAAGCAGGGGTGGCCGTGTGTAGTGGTTGAATGCAGTATGTGTTCGTTCGACTGCGATATCACATGGCTGCCCCCAAAGCAGTGATTGTCATGGAGACTGGAGTTTTTACTTTTCTCTGCTGAGTTGTGAAAGTGATGCTTTTTTGAGTGAGAAAATCCTTTTAATTTGCCAAATTTGCGGGTCTGGATGAGAAGAGGGCTAAAGAGGGAGAAAATAGACTGTGGCAGAGGCTGCTTGCTGCTTCTCTTAACGTCTGTTTTCCTGCCAGTTTTTAGCGGGGCATACAGCCACCTCCAGGTGACTGTATGACTAAGTGTCTTTCAAAGGGCAGAAGAAAACTAATTTTTACAAAGTTCAACAGCATCAGTAATTTCACCTATTTATATTTTAAATCAGCAAACAGTGTGAAACCTCTAAAGAGGTCTAAAGGCATTAGCTTGATAATCCCCAAAACTAGAGCAGCACAGCAACAGAGTCAAAACCTCCTCCAGTATGAAATTTGCAAAAATAATAGTTGACAGATAAAATGTCACCCTTTTAAAAATTCTCCATACAAAGAAGGCCATCATTTTTCTTATATCTAATCAAAGCATTTTGTAAAATTATGATAGAGAGTCTTCTCTCTAGGGAGGGTACAGGTAGGTTTGTAGAATTAGAGAGACACGGATTCCAATGAGCCGAAGAGATTACTTGACAAGAGAAAAGACAGAATTAATAAGATTGAAGAATGGCTCTTGCCCCATCCTCAGGGGTTTAGGGCCATGGTTCTGAGAGTTCACAGCACTTGCATGAGGCAAATTGGTTAATATTCAGCCTGACACTTCTTGCACTATCATGTTAAATTATAAAGCAGTAAAAGAAGCTAAGACTTCTTGTATCTTTCTCATGTTTTCCAAACTGAGTTTTAACAGAAGTGTTAACATAATTTGAGTGAATGTGAACATTCAAAGTCAATCTGTATACCAATGGCACCCCTCAGCCCAGCTTCCTTCTTTATTTAGACTTGTTCTGATAGATATTTCAAGGGTTATCTCAATTGTACTCACAGAAAATAGCATTTCTGTGAAAGATTTCTGCAAGGCTGAATTCTTCCTGTTGGCTAATTCTCCTACATATAGTATTTCCATGTATAGCAGCAACTGGGTCCACAGTTGGTCAGATAATTTAAAAAGTCACTTAAAGGTCTAACAGGAACACTTTGGCCCTATCTGCGGGGGTGGAAGGGCTAGGTTCTAAGAACAGAATTAATTCATATTTTGAAGTGTCCTATGCAAAACAACTGTTTTTGTGACTCTTAGAAGAGATTTAAGATGTAGCCAAGAGTTGAGAAGGCTAAAGAGATCAGGGAGGGAGAATTGATGATTCGTATTGTAAAAGTTTTTGGAGGATTCTGGCATTTTCCCATTCTTTTGGTGAGAGAAGAAGTGTACTTTCACTTTTCTGAATCTAAGTGAAAAAGACTTTGGGGGAGTCACTTAAAGAACTTGATCTATATCCTCTGGAATTCAATGGACTAGCGTCTGAACTCTGAGGATGGCTGTTCAGGTTGTATACTGCACAACTCCAGAAGGTCCCATTCACACAGACAACAATGTTTATAATCTGTACAACTACATTTGGAGACTCTTGGTGTCTGACTCTCCTAGAGGTAAGCTATGGTAGCTGGAGTTGCAATTAATTAATTGCAAAGAGGAAGACAGAGGCACTAGGAGCAAGTTGGAGTTTCACCAACAAAAAGACAAGGCTGTGAGTTTTTCAGCTTGGCTATGTGGGTCCATGTCAGGAAACCTGCCTGAAGCCTTCTTGAGAAGGCTTTTTTAAGGGTAATAAAAATACCTTCTAGGAGGACCCCTCAAACTGAAAGCCAGAAGGCTGAGTGTTGGCAGTGAAAGTGGTCAGGCATTGGAGTGACTGTCCTCATCATGGACACTGCAGTGGGGATTTCCCATGGGGTAAAGAACCCAATGAAAGTCCACCCTGAGTACTCAAGCTCAATGAGCAGCAACGCCAGATCACAGAGGTTCCATCCATGTGCCCTTTGCATAACCCTAGCCCTGGACCCAGTCCTGGAGGGAATGGAAAGATAGCTTGTGAGGGGAAGCATCGGAAGAGGAAAAGACACCAACCATGTCCTCATACCCCTAACCCCTGACTCCGAAGACTTTCACTCTAGGCTTTTTGGCTTAACTCAAGCGTCAGCCCAGGGAGGGTAAAAAAATTTGGAATTGGTTATTACACTAAACTGAACATTATAGTTACTAAAATAAGACTTCTGTTAAGACCAAAGGTGAGCTCGGGATATTTAATACCTGTAAGTAACTGGGAGATCTGCTTGAGACTTCATATAAGGACAGGGACGGAAAGAATCAGCCCATGCAGTGGGGATAGAGGAGGAGTTGGGGAAAGTTGATGATGCTCTCTTTGTAGCCTGTTGAGCTCCAAACCTTCAGTAAGTGGACCACATGGGAATCTTTAAAAGAGATTTCTATCTATACCTGAAGCATTTAATTTTAACTTGAGACACATAAATGTACACGTATCCCCAATCTTTTGATATAGAGCCAAGACCTTTTGTGTGGGCACAGGGAACAGATATTTCTTAAACTTACCCATGAAACAGCAACTATGAGTTCCAATTTTGGTTTCCTCACATTGGATTGAAAATGTTAAACAACCCGAATATGGTTAGAGATGTATCCGAATATGGTTAAAGATGTATATGATTTATTTTCTCTTGTCTTTTACAGTTGTCTCACCCACACCCTGTTTTGGAAATGAAAATGGGTGTGGGTGAGACAACTGTAAAAGGGCTTTTGAAAGCATTTAATTTAGTGGTTCATAGAAACAACCACTCTTTTTGTACTCATATGTCATTGGTTTACATAATATTTAATTAAATTATGTAATTCAGTAACAAGTAATATTGGCATAAACAGCAGAGCACATGCCAAGCTGACTCTTGGTAAAGGCACATTGAACTTGTGGGAGCAGAAGCACATGGCTGTACTGGAGAGTAGTCCGCTCATGGTGAGCCTTCCATGTGTCCTGATCACCGGTCTGCAGATCTTACCGAGAGACAGAGCATGCAGGATTATCTAGGGAGCTGGTTAAGTGGACATCAACTACTGAGGCGCCATTATTTTAGGTCCGATACTTGAGATATAAACACCATCATAAAAGCTACCTTAACTGAGTTTCTACCATGTGCCAGGCAGGGCACTGGGCACTTTATGCACACTTTAAATGAGTAAAGTCTCATTTCGCTTTCACAGATAATACTTTCCTTCATTTTACAATTGAGGAAGCTGAAATTTACAGAAATTAAGTAACTTGCTGTAGGTCACATAGGCAATCGATGAATAGTCAGTACCTCTCAAACTTTAAAGTATAAATAAATCACCAGGGGGCTATTATTTAAATGAAAATTTTGAAATACTAGGTCTAGGGTGGAGCCTGAGATAGTGCACTTTTAACAAGCGCCCAGATACTGTTGCTGCTGCTGGTCTGTAGACCATGTCTTGAAAATAATAACATCTTAACTTAACTGTTCTAAGATGGAGCCCAGGCATCCTTGTTTTCTAAAAGCTCTCCAGGGATCTTTCGTAAACACAGTAGAGATAATTTTTCCTCCAGGAAAGTCAGAAAAGCTGTGGAAGTGGATTGACTTAGTGATACTTAGTTTCAAATCCTTTAATTAAAAAAATTGTTTTAAAAATACAATGGTAATGAATTTGAACCAATATACAAGTTTACAAAATAAAAGATAAAAATCTTCCTGCTTTATCAAGAATTTTTTTTTAAATTAAGGAAGGAAGATGCCAGTTTTACTTAAACACAAAACGTGTACATAAGCTGTCTACTCATATTCTTCGCTGCGCAGCCTGGCATTGGGAGTGGTGACTCTGATGGCCAGCTGGGCAGCTCTTTCCACGATGGCTTTGCGGTTCTTGGAGGAAACATTGTGAGCGATCTCAGCACAGTAAGATTTGTTGCACATCAGCAGCACTTCCAGCTCCTTGACATTGTGGACCAGGAACTTCCGGAAGCCACTGGGCAGCGTGTGCTTTGTTTTCTTGTTGTTCCCATAACCAATGTTAGGCATCAAGATCTGGCCCTTGAACCTTCTACGAACCCTGTTGTCAATACCTCTGGGTTTCTGCCAGTTACGCTTAATTTTGACATATTGGTTTGGTGCCGGATGAACTTCTTGGTTCTCTTTTTGACGATCTTGTGTTTCACAAGGGGTCTAAGGGCGACCATGATGCCGAGGAGGAGATCGCTGCTATCTCCGTAGGCAGTGCTGAGGAAGAGAGAAGGGATGTTGGCACGCTCAAGAATTTTTTAAAGTAAAATATAATCAAGCTGTTTACTGCACACCCTTACGCTACCCTTTTCTAGCTCCATGAGGTATCATAAATTTCTTTTGTAGTAAGTACACACTACTATAATCTGCTTCAACTTACTTCATCCCTATTGACAATGCATTGTATTCCATAGCAGAGTGAAACCACAATTTCATAGATGGGCATTGACTCTAATTTTTTTCAGTTTTACAGATAATGCTTTGTGCATATATCCATGGTTATGTGTATAAGTCATTCTGTAGAATTGACTTCTAGATCTGAAATTGCTGGGTTATTTAAAAAGCTACTCTCAAATAAAAGGTTCACTGAATTACTTTTGTACCATCACATAGAAAAAAATGCCTCCTTTCCCCCACCACCTTGAAATACTGGATATTATCATTCTTTTCTGTATTAAGCAATACAAAATATAAAATGTGGTTCTCAGTGATTTTTAATTTGTGTGTCATGATGAATGCATGAGGATGAAAATCTTTTACTATATCCATTAGGCTTAGTATTTATCTTTTGTTGCTTTTCTGTCTATATCCTTTTGCCCTGTGAGTTATTTGGTTGCTTATCTATTTTATATTATCTGTCTCTTATATATGCTGCAAATGTCATCCTCCCAGCCTACTAGTCACTTTTTTTTTTTTTGATACAGGGTCTTACTCTGTTGCCCAGGCTGGAGTGCAGTGGTGCAGTCACAGCACACTGCAGCCTTGACCACCCAGGCTCAAGTGATCCTTCCACCACAGCCTCTCAAGTAGCAGCTGGGACTACAGATGCATGCAACCATGCCTGGCTAATTTTTAATCTTTTGTAAACACAGGGTCTCACCACATTGCCCAGGATGGTCTCAAACTCCTGGACTCAAGCCATCCTCTCACCTCGGCCCCTCAAAAGTGCTGGGATTACAGGTGTGAGCCACTGCTCCAGCCCTACTGTTCACTTTTTAAATTTATTTTACAATATTTTACAGAACTGTTTCATTTCTTTATGTCAAGTTTGTCAATTTTCTTCCATGACTTCTATTTTACTTTAGGAAAGACTTCCTCATCCCCAATTTATAAAATACACATCCCTGTTTTTTCCATCGATTACTTGCACAGATCTGTCACTCATTAATTCATGTGATTATTAATCCATATGCAAAATATATTCTGTATACAAAGTAGATTAATGACTTGAAGTTAGAGGCCTTTTTTTGTCTTTTACTACCAAATACCATTCTCAGCATCATTCATTGAACAGACCATCATTAATCCTGGATTTGAAATTCCCCCTTTATTAAATGATAGAAGTCTTATCATTGAATATATTAAATAACAGAAATCTCATATACAGAAATCTCATCTTCTCCTTTCATCCCTTTTCTTCCAAGACTGCTGCAAATTGTTTGAATTTCTGTAGCTTTATAGAACTTCTGGAAAGACAAGTCTGTTACTATTTTTTAGTTTTTCTCCCTTTTTTAAACCAAATTTCTTTTCTACTTTTCTTTAGATGAGCTTAAATTGCCCATATCTGGTTCTAAAGCAAACAATGGAATTTTTACTGAAATTTTGTTCTAATGGTCCACTAGTATGGGGAAAATTGACATCTTTGTAGTATTGAATGTTCCATGCAGAAACAAGGTATGCCACTTCATTTATTCAGATATTTTATATCGTCTTCACAAATGTAGATTTGCACATAACAAGAGTTACATTTATTTCTGGATGAATATATATATTATATACATGAATACATATTATATATATATTCATCCAGGAATAAATATATCTTTATATATATATATATATATATATATATATATATATATATATATTTTTTTTTTTTTTTTTTTTTTGAGACAGAGTCTCACTCTGTTGACCATGACTCACTGCAACCTCCACCTCCTGGCTTCAAGCAATTCTCCTGCCTCAGCCTCCTGAGTAGCTGGGATTTTAGCACATGCCACCATGTATGGCTAATTTTTCTATTTTTAATAGAGACAGGGTTTTGCCATGTTGGCCAGACTGGTCTCAAACCCTTGACCTCAGGTGATCCGCCATTTTGGCCTCCCAAAGTGCTGGGATTACAGGCATGAGCCACTGCACCCAGCCTATATTTATCTTCATATAGGTATTTACATATATACATAAATAATATACACAATTTTATACATATGTATTTTAAAGATGTACACATATATGTAAATATATATATCCTTTTCCAGATCATCATTCTAATTATTGCCAATATATAATAGCTACTGATTTAAGTATATTTTTCTCCCAATTAAGCAGCTTACCAAAGTTTCATAAGGTCTAATCATTTTATGAATTATCTTTGGAGCTATGGAGCTTTGATTTGGCAAAATTCATTCATTAAAATTTCTACTTTCAACTATGAAACTCATAAGTACTCAATAAAGAAGATTAGAAATCTGAAAACATTACCCCCACTACTAATCTACTTTAAGTATCATTTTGCTTGCATCAGTTTTCACTCTTTTTACGATTTGCATAGTTTCTTTTACATAATCGTAATCATACAGTGTAACTAACTGGGTGTACTTTCTAAAAGAATAAATGCCTTCAACATGTAAAGCTCTTTTGGTGGGAGTTTGTTTTATAAGGAGCTGTGTGCTTTTCACTAATGTGCAGAAATGCTAATGTAACTTCTGCTGCTGAGAGTTACTGAGTTCAGTTTGGTTCCATCTTTTGCTGCAAGCCTGGCTTGGTGACATTTCTACCACCATAACAAACCCTCTCTCTTCGCACCATACATAGCTGCTGACCTCACTGCACACTCAGCCATTCCATTTCAGACTTCAGCCAGAATCATTCTTACAGTGCAGGTGATGTGGAGATTGCTAGGGGTTTATGATTCCATTTAGAAGGCTGAATAGATCATGATCCACATAATTGAGATTTCATAAGAAAACTTTCTAAGAACATTTCTTATGTGACTCCTTTACACAAATGTGTATACAGTTTGGGTTTGGATGGGTTGATTTGCTTTTTCTTCTGGATTGAAATTTGATATCCTCACTTGTTCATTTTGCTAGCTATATGAAATGCTCTTTCTTTCCATAACTCTCTACTTACTCACCTTAACAGAGGATTTCCCTGCCTTGCTTATATAAAATAGAAACCCCCAGCTCTAATTCCCCTGGCCAGACCTGCCTCAGACTTATGCAGGGCTGGACAAAGGTATAAATGGAGACCCACATATCCTATGTCTAAGGTCCAATAAAGCTTCATGCACACACATGTGAACACCTCAGTCAGCCTGTCCTAGTGCCCTCAACACGCCTCTTCAAAAGCTACCTTTCACTTCCCATTGGGCCTACAGGTGCTTCATTTTTGAAAGGATGAGGCTAATCAGGCCCTCTCTTAGAGCAGGTAATTCCATGATCCTGGGCAACTTGGAGCATAATCGTCAGTCAGGCAGTGCTGTGGGCTACATATAGGCAAGTCCCCTTGGCTCTCAGAATTCCAGCCCCGTGAGGTGGGTCATGGCTAGAGGAGGCATGTGCGGGGCCCAGGGCTCCTCGTGCCTGCATCTAAGGGTCTTGCCCATTGGCACACCCTATTCCCCTATTTTCCATTGTAATTATCACTATTTATTAATTTATTTATTTATTATTTGTCTCTTACTAAAGCAAACTCCACGAGAAAAAGAACTAAATTTTGTTCACGACTTTACTCCTAGCACTTATAAGTGTCTTTGATCAGGAAACAATAAATACTTGTTTCAAGTAAGTGAGTGAATGGATTCTGAATTACTGTGAATAACATATATAGCATTAGTAGAGGGGATAACACAGAAATTATATGTCTGAAAATTCACTCCTTTTTGTGAGATAGCAACAGAAAACATAATTAAATATGTCAACTGACAGAACTATGCATTCTGTTCCCTATTTCTTTACATCTGTCATTGCCTAGTTAAATGCTTTCATTTCTATATAACATTAATTGGTGAAGTTGTGAGAATTAAACAAGATAGCATGATGTGGTCTAACCTGATTTTTTCTTTTCTTTTCTTTTTGAGACAAAATCTGTCTTTGTTGCCAGGCTGGAGTGCAGTGGTATGATCACCACTCACTGCAACCTCTGCCTCCTGGGTTCAAGTGATTCTCTCACCTCAGCCTCCTGAGTAGCCGGGATTATAGGTGCCCACCACTATGCTTGGCTAATTTTTTGTATTTTTTTTTAGTAGAGATGGGGCTTCACCATGTTGGCCTGACTGGTCTCAGACTCCTGACCTCAGGTGATCCACCCACCTCAGCCTCCCAAAGTGCTGAGATTACAGCCCTGAGCCACCGTGCCTGGCCTACCACACTATTTTAATTATAATAGATTTAGAGTGTGTTATGACATCTGGAGGACAATTGATACCTCACTGTTTTTTCTCTGTCAGAGTTTCTTTGTCTAGTCTTGTGAATTTTATCCTCCTTGTGAACTTTACAACTATCTTAAAAAATTCTCTAAAATAACTCTTATAATTCTGATTGGCATTGTGTTTACTTCACTGATTAATTGGTGACATGTTGACATTTTTTAATATTAAAGCAGCCAATGGTTTTATTTAGATCTTCCTTTTGTTCTTCAACAAAATTTCATAATTAAAATAATACAATGTGCATTTCCTATTGGTGTGGTTTTGTGACTTTTACTTTTTTACTACGGTATCTTTCTTCCATTACTTTATCTAGTTGATTATTGCTGGTGTAGCACATTTTCTAGCCGCCTCCCAATAGCTATTCTCTTCTTCCTTTCCACCCTTTCTTTTCCTTTCCAACTAAAAGATTACCTTTCCCAAACTCTCTTAACCATGGGACTAAATGAGTTGTTCTGGGAAGTTTGCAGTGAGACTTCTAGGAAGTCTCCTTTAATGGGAAAAAATTCACGCTTCATTGTGAAGTGG